TTGGAAATGTAAGTAAACCTACAATCGGCCAGAATCCAAAATAAAATAATAACAGATTATCTAAGGGCAGCAGGACAGGAAGAATCGCTTGAGGATTTGGGCCTAAAATTCCTACTCTTCCCTCTTTCAAAAGTCACCCTTCTCCTGGGAATCCCATGAATTATGGCTGCATCCACCAAGCCGTCTTCAGAAGACAATGCTCTCCTCTTCACCGCTTAGATCCAAACACAGGCACTTTTACTTAACCTTCCATAGCAAAACTGAGATCATAGTGACTGACAAAACTTTGTAGGAAACCCAGTGTATGGGATTGAATTGGGTCCCCAAAAGAGATATGTTCAAGTCCTAAACTCCAGTACCTGTAAATGTGACACTATTTAAAAGCAGGGTCTTTCTAGATGTATTCAAGTTAAGATGAGGTCATAGTGGATCAGGGCAGGCCCTAAATCCAATGATCAGTGTCTTTTATAAGAGAAAGGTGGTGGATTTAGACACAGAATCACAGAGGAGCCACAGGGAGCAGCCACTGTGACAACAGAGGCCAAGATTAGAGTGATGCTTCGACAAGCCAAGGAGCATCAAAGCCTGCCAACAGCTATCAGAAGCTAATAGACAGGCACGGAACAGATTCTCCCGCAGGGCCTGCAGAAGATACCAACCCTGCCAACAACTCGATTGCAGTCGGCTGGCCTCCTGAACTGTGAGACAATACATTTCTGTTGTTTTAAGCCACCCAGTTTGTGGTGCTTTGGTTCAGCAGCCCTAGGAAAGTAAGACATCCAGGAAGAACTGAAAGGAATTGCTCAGGGAAGCATAGAAGTGGAGCACCATGTGACAATGGAGCTGCCTCCTTGCCCCTTGGCCCTTGGCTCCCAGCCCTGCCAGGATTCTGCCTCACCATGGTAGGAGCTGCTTGGGCACAGCCTGGCCTAACTAGTGCCCTCAGGGTTCAGGTCCAAGAGAGAGAAGTACAGAGAGATGTTTCCTGTAACTCTACACAAGTCCTCAGTAACAAATCCATATTTCCTGACCCCAGACACTCTTTATTCCAGCAGAACAGACATTGGGAACATCTGTTCCTTTCAGAGAACGTCATGTTTCCACCATAAGGAATGGACTCACGGGTTATATCAAAACGTAATTGTCTACTCTTACTACAAGAGATACAAAAGCAGCGAGAGAGGACAGATTCGGTGCCCTTTCTCTGACATCCCAAAGCCCCTGGGACTTCCCCACCATTATTCATTGCTCTATTCACCTAAATCTCTAGGCAGGAAGGTCTCTCTCATTGGTGATGGGATTGTCAGCTCCTCCAGGTCAAAGCCACAGTGAAATGCACGTCCCCGGAGCCTAGCAAAGGGCTTGGCACAGAGCAGGGGCCCTGCAGCATTTTGTGGGGAATTGGCTACGTGAACCATCAAGATACTGAGGCCATTAAAACAGGCTCCCAAAAAAGCAGCCAACCTCCTGTGCACTCTCTGTATATTTCCAGGAATTCCTCTCCATGACAATTTAGAAAGTCCAGCAGTGGGTTCCAAGGCATCACAGAATTCAATCCAAGCAGAGCCCAAACCCCAATGGAAAGCTGCAAAACATGCCACTCCCCAAGCATCGTGGAGGCCCAGAGTTCCAGCCAAAGAAGGAGACTCAGTAAGTTCAAAGGGCAGATGCTCCTGTACCAGGGCTCCAGGCTGTACCTGAGACCATCCTCAGATTCTCTAGCTAGCAGGTCGGAGCCAGGTGAGGGGAAGGATGAACTGCAATGTGAGGAGTGTGTGTCCCATCTCCTCCTCTTCACCAGATGACTCTCTACCCAGGGCAGCCTTGACACGATTTAGAGGGCGGGCAGTGGGCTATTTTGGAGTCTGGAATAGAAAGGAATGACAATTGGCAGTAACTCTAGTACTTGAATTTTCCTGTGCTGAAGAATCACCCAAGGCACTCTAATATGCACATACCTGGTCCAGCCCTTGCTCCCTAGTAGGTTAAATGTTGCCTAGGAATCCGTATTGAAAACAAAACAAAACCTCATAGTGATTCAAACACAAGTAATCCTCAGACCTGGGCCAAGAAGCTCTTTTCTAACACTACCTGGGGACCCAGCCTCTTCTCTTTCCTAACTGCAGCCTCAGGAAGCTAGATGTCTGTAGGGAGCCTGGGAGGAGACAGTGGCCCCAGAGTCTCAGAATGACTACACTAAAAGGTGCCAGGAGGCTGGCCCTCATCAGGATTCCAATGAGAAAAGGGGGTAGGCCTGAACAGTGTGGGCCCAGAGGGCATAAACAGCCCCTTGCAGAGCAGGCACAAGGAAGCTGATGTGAGCTCAATGTGAGGAAGAACTTTATGGTCTATAGCTGAAGGCCTACAGTCTAATGGGAGAGTGCCCATCATACCTGGAAAACTCTAAATGCCTGGAAGGCCATAAGGCATTCTGAATTCCTTCAGAATTCAGCCTCTGTTTCCCTCTGCAGTCCCTTCTTACAGCCCTCCCCACTTCCAGAACTTCACCTGCCTTCCCACCCTCAAAGTTGAACCTTTCTGCATTCTCCAGGCATACCAGGCCCAAGATCTGTCAGCCTTCCTTACTTGCTGCTCCCCTCCAGGACTTTGCCTCTCCTGGTCATTCTGCCTGGCCTGCTCTTCCTCTACTCTTAACTTGGTTAATTCCTAGTCATTCTTCAGGTCTCAGTTTAGAAGTCACCCGCTGAAGTTCCCTCTAACCCCCACAGCTGGACAGAATGCCTCTCTTCTGCTACCTCTGCATATCATATTTAAATTGTTCACTGTGGAGAGGAGTGGCATGGGGTGGTGTGGCTTGGTGAGGAATCCACTACCTGGGAGGAGGGTGGTGGGTGAAGGAGCACACAGGGGAAGAAAAAAGTTGTTCACTGAAGGCAGGCACAGTGGTTCATGCCTATATTCCCAGCACTTTGGGAGGCCGATACAGGATAGTTTGAGCCCAGCAATTTGAGGCTGCAGTGAGCTATGATCCTGCCACTACACTCCAGCCTGGATACTAGAGCAAGACTCCATCTCCCACTGTTTCTCTCTCTCTCTCTGTCTTTCACACACACACACACACACACACACACACACACACACACACACATACATTGTTCGCTGACTCCTCAAGGTCTAACATACTCCCTGTACAAAAAATACTGAGTTTGCATTGTTGAATTGTAATGAGCTGTTTCTTTACTTTTGCCCCATAAGGCTATGAATTCTTCCGGAATCCATTGGCTGGCACTTTGTAGCTGCTCAATAAATGTCTGACAATGCATGAATGGCAGTGTCCTGGCAGAAAACAGAACAGTCCACCTTGAGAGGCAACAAGTCCTAACAGCTTTTTGTTTACACAGAGGCTGACCCACCCTGTCAGTGATCTTAGAGGTGGTGCTGAATAGGACACAGGTGCCTAGGGTCTCTTCTGACATGGTGATTACAGGCCAATGACTCTGGCATGAGGGCTGAAGGGGATCTTTGAAAAGCAGCCAAGGCCCAGTGAGTTGATCTCTTGATGACTGTTTGGTTCACAGCAGTTTGTGTTCCAGGAAGGTAAAGGAAATTCACTGCAAAGCAGCAACAGGAGAGGAGTCACTCTGGTTCTGTTGTCCTCCAATCCAGAACCAGCCTCTGTCACACCCACCCCTGCTCTCCTGAGTACTTGCCAGGACTGTCTGGACTCACCGGGCATAGAGAGGCCCCACCAGCCTCAAGGTGAGGCAAGTTTCCCAAGTGCAAATTCCCTGAGTGTCTTTTAGGCATGTCCCCCTGAAGCCAAGCCTAGCAAATTCAAGCTATTTGTACTCAGTACCTACTGTGTGCCAGGCTCCAGGTGAACAAGACAAAGTCTGACTTTCCCCAGCCCAGTGGGGACTTGGCCTCTCATCAGTCATCAAGACAGAGGACAAACCAGCCTTCCAGCCCAGGCCCGTCAGTGGTGATGGATGTACCAGCTATTTAGAAGGCCAGCATGGGTGTATTTGCAGGATAGGCCAGGAACTCATGCAGTGCCCTGAGCCCCAAGGCAGGTGGCATTCAGAGCTGCTGGGCACACTGTTTTCTGCAGTCTGCCTCTGAAGCACAAATCTTTCCAGAATGTCTTCATAATCCCCAGGAGTGGAGGATCCAGAGTGTGAACAGGCTGTGCCAGCTCTCCCTCGCCTCAACCCTCACTCCAGGGAGAGAAGCCTCAGAGGCCTGGGCCTCCTGAGTCAGGGTGTCTGAATTGGGGTTGGGGAACAGGATCCCAGGAGCACAGTGTTCAACATGCTGCTGATTATCTATGTGACAAGATAGGCAAGTCCTGCTCCCTCTCTGAACCTTAGAATCCTCCTTTGTAAATAAGAGAGATCAACTACATCAGTGTGTCCTCATCTTGCTATGAATCAGAAACATCTGTGTGGTGGCAAGACTAAGCAGCTTGAAAAAATGCAGCCTTGCCGGGCGCGGTGGCTCAAGCCTGTAATCCCAGCACTTTGGGAGGCCGAGACGGGTGGATCACGAGGTCAAGAGATCGAGACCATCCTGGTCAACATGGTGAAACCCCGTCTCTACTAAAAATACAAAAAATCAGCTGGGCATGGTGGCGCATGCCTGTAATCCCAGCTACTCAGGAGGCTGAGGCAGGAGAATTGCCTGAACCCAGGAGGCGGAGGTTGCGGTGAGCCGAGATCACGCCATTGCACTCCAGCCTGGGTAACATGAGTGAAACTCCGTCTCAAAAAAAAAAAAAAAAAAAGAAAAATTGCAGCCTTCTGGCCCCCATTCCAAAGCTCCTAAGGAATCTGGACCCCTAGAGAGGCGAGTGGAGAGGCCTACTCAAGCCCTAGCCCCCAACCCTGGCCCCAGCCAAGGAGCTTCTGAGCCCCCTCATGCCTTCCCCACTCCACTGAGAAACTCTTTGGGATGCAATGTTCCCAGCCACACTGGTCTTTGGGCCAGGGCTGGAGTAAGCTGCCTCTACCCCTCTCTCCAAAGAGCTCTGAAGCCTGAAGCACTTATCAGTGAGCAGTTTATTACCATCAAGCTGTCCCCAGCTTCCCAGCACCAGTTTGCCCACACTCTAGACACACCTTCGCTCCAGCCCATTCTGGCACCTAGCCTCAGTCTCCAGCCTCCTCCCCTCCTCCACAGGCTCCTTCCCCCAGCCCTCCAAGGCAGCACCAGGTCTGGGGGCCACACCACAGCTGGGGGAGGGGAAGGAAGACAGCAAAACAGGCAGAAGCTGGGGAAAGAGGAGCCAGTGTTGGCCACAAGCTTCTGTAGCCACCACTCCAGGAAGGAGGGAAAGGGGGCAGGGCTGAGGCCGGGGCTGGGGTTGCCAGGTGATGACAGTTCAGGTGGTTCAGGCGGGAGGCTCTTCTCCAGGAGGTGCAGGGAAGCCACTCAGGTCTCGGCCAATGATCTCACTCACTGTAAAGGAGGGGCACTTGAGAGACTGGGCTAGAGGTTGGTTCCCTCCTTTTTCAAAGACCCCCAATCCATTCCAGGCAGGCCTTAATCTAGGAGGCCTCTAGGTTCCTCCTTTACTGGTTTCTCTTCTACTGGGCCTCAGTTTCCCCAATGTGTCTTGACACCTGCTCCGAATCAAATCTTCCCCAGCTCCCTCCATGTGGGCTCCCAGGTGCCCGTCCTATCCCTTTCCTGCTGGCTTAGCCCAAAATGTCAGGGGAATTGGTATCAGCTGGGCCAGAGATGGGTGTAGCCAATGGGAGGAAGGAGAGGCAAAACAGGAAAGCTCCTCCTCACCAACCCCGACCAAAGGCACCGTGTTTAGGGGAACGCTGAGGCAGTGGCAAGTGTGCTTGACTGGGACCTCAGCAAGCTACCATCCCTCTCTGGAACTCAGTGCCTGAACTTGCAAATTGAGCGAGCTGGATGGAATGATCTTTAAAGTGCTTCTAGCTGTGAGATTTTCTGATTTGGAGCAGAGGGCAGAGGCAGAGGCAGAGGCAGAGGCAGGAGAAAGTCTGAGACAGTTACCCCATGCACCCTTCAGAATTCAGTTAACTGGATTCAGGCAGCCACAGGCATCAAGAACATGCCTCCTGGGACACTCCAGCTGGCCCTGAGAGACCAGGGATGCCTGATCTCTGAAAAGCCCAGCTCCAGCCCTCAGCAAACATGCAGAGCAATCTCTTGCACACACTCACACTCACAGCCCCCAGTCCCACACCCACCTTCCTCCAGCGTGATACCCTGGATAGGGACACTGTCTCGGAAGCCGCTGCTGTAGCCACCCCTGGATTTCTCCTGCTCCGGAGCCCCCTCCCCAGGGCCATAGCCTGGCCCTACCTTATTGTATCCCTCAGCAGGTAGGGGATGCACATCACCCTGGGAAGGGAAGGGGCCTTCAAGCGGTGGGGATGCAGGGAGAGGAGGTCGAAAGGGGGCTGGAGGAGAGAATGGCAGCCCCAGGGGAAAAGAGGAGCCCCGCCCTCCATACGGGTCACTAAGGAAGGGGCGGGGAAGGAAGGAGACTGGTGGTGGGTGGGCACAACCTGTGGTACCCCTAGTCTCAGGGAACATCCGCAGGCCCGGTCTGTAGGATGGTGGGGGCCCCGTCTGGGGGTACAGAGGGGGCGTGCCATAGCTGAAGCCTTCTGATAGGTAAGGAGTTTCATAAGCAGGGTCTTCATGGGGATAGGAGGGGTAGGGGGGCCTGGGTGGTGAGAAGTCCATGTCAGTGCCAAAGAGGGGTGCCGATGCTGGAGGGAAGCCCCGCAGAGATGAGTCCGGTAGGGGCTCCTCCTTGCAGATCACTGGGAAGACAGGAAGTGGGAGGACACGCTGGTGAGAGGTCTGGCAGTCTTCTCCTTGCACACCTTCCAGCCATCTGCTCCTCCCAGGTTCCATTCACCCCTTGGCCCCTCACAATGGGCACTGCTTGCCTCTGCCCCTGCTCCAGCTCCCCATATCCCTATACCTCCCACCATGGGCTGTTCCAGAGCGCACCAGGCAGAAACTTGAAACTCTGGGTAGGACTGCGTTTCCTCCGCCCATTGGAGACATAAAAGTAGACCTGGACTGGCCGGGACACCCTTTTGTTGCTGTACTCGGGGACATTCAGGGTCAGCGTCACCTAAGGAAGAGTAAAAATGAGACAGGGAGCCCTCGGGGACCTAGGCTTAGCCCAGCCTTTCCAGGGGCCCGGACTCCAGCTCTTAGCTTTCTCCATTTGCTAAGATGCAAAGTTCATTCCTTAGAGATGCACCTGCTTACAGAATGGCCAGTCTACCTCCTCCAGAAAAGCCCACTCCCATGAGCAAGAGGACCCAGCTGAGAATCCCCTGTGCCTCTCCCACCCCCGCCCCCAGAAGGTATCCTACCTCATTGCTCTGCAGTCGGTTCACCGTGGCCTCCTCCTCCCATTGTAGCTTCCCATCTGTGCAGAGAGAACGGAGAGCTGCAGCCCAGCTCCAGTGCCCTTGCCCCTGCCCTAGTTCTCTGCCATTTCCCCTCCTACTAGAGCCAAGGCCAAATCCAGAAGCGCTAGATTGTCTGATACACAGGAGCCCACTACATGTTAACTTAATGTGAGTGGAAGAAGTAAGGTTTAAAACTGTCCTCAGGTACAGGGAAGCAAACTGAGACCAAGGGAAATGGCAGGGCCAGCCCAGGAATAAGAATGAGTTGGTAACGGAAGCAAATATTACTATTGAATATTTCCACCCAAACCCAAACATTGTCTCCCATGATAATGCTGAGAAGGAAGACCAAAGGTAGGAAAGGGTCCTAGCTCAACAGAAGGCAATGAGACCCCCAACTCTGATAACCCAGAACCTCTGGAGAAGCTGTGACACGGTCCTAGGATGCTGCATTTGGATATAGGGGCCGGATGCAGAGGCTCATGCCTGTAATCCCAGCACCCACCACTCCCATCTTGGGAGGCCAAGGTAGAAGGATCATTTGAGCCCAGGAGTTTGAGACCAGCCTGGGCAACATGAGGAGACCCTAACTCTACAAAAAATAATTTTAAAAATAAGCCAAGTGTGGTTGCCTGTGCCTGTGGTCCCAGTTACTCAGGAGGCTGAGGTGGGAGGATTGCTTGATCCCAGGAGCTTGAGGCTGCAGTGAGCTGTGATTGCATCACTGCACTCCACTGGGTCACAAAGCGAGACCCTGCTACAAATAATAATAATAATAATAATAATAACAACAATAATAATAAAAGTTATAGGGACTGAGGCTATTGGTGAACAGTGTTTGGGGAGGGCAAAGGCCTAAGGTTAGTGCACGCAGCTCGAACCCTCAGTCTTCCCTTCCTCCATGCCTGCAGCTCCATCTCGGGGCACCTAACAGGCTCTGTTAATCACCGCCCATAACTCAATAAGCTACCCAGTGGGGAGCTGTGAGGGTGTAAATCACCTCTTGCCTTCTCCTCATATGCCCTAGCTACATGGGGATAAATTATCTCAAAGCAGACTTCTCTTTAATAAACAGAATGTGCATCGCTTACATTTGTTCAGCATCTTCAACATTTTAGATTGCTGTCACACTCATCCCACATGGAAAGCAGACAGTATAATAGGAAGGGTAGCCTGTGTCCCATTTTACAAATAAAAAATCCGAGGTTCCACTGGCTAGTTTAGTGACAGTGCCAGAGATATTTCACCTGCTGGTCTCAGGCTTTCCCTGCCTGCCCTCTCCCCGCCAGTGGGTACTCACCAGGACCCCTCTCAATGAACACCACCTTGGAGTCTGGCAGGAAGTTGGAGCCAGTCAGTACTAGTTCCTCGCCTCCTCTCACAGAGCAGGCACTGGGGCTGTAGGCCTCCACCTGGGGCAGCTCCTGGGCTGAGCGCTGGGCTGCAGAGCAGTGCAAGGAAGAGGACTGGCTGGGCTGGGCATGGAGGGGCAGCCTCCTCTGTCCCCACCCTCTTTGGAAAAACTGCCACAAGGTTCTGAGGAAGCCCTCCTCAGCAGCAGACACACAAATAAACCAGTAGTATCCATGGGGTCACACAGACCATGTAAGGGGCCACTCCCAGATTAGAGAGAGGGTTAAACAGGGTAGACAAGGGAGTTTCCCAAACAAGGGCACCGGGCACCCCAGGAACAGATAGGGTCCAGGGTCACTCTGGGCCACCCCAGAGACAGTCTGTGGCAGGGGCAAACTAGAATAGAAAAAAAGACTGAGTCCTCTATAGAGCTACCCAGGGCAGACAGGGCACAGGATGCTGCAGGGGGAATGGGCAGAGACACACAGACAAGAGTTGCAAGAGACAGAGAGATGGCCCAGGGCCTCTTTGCTCACAGCACTCGATGGGCACCGATGCTGCCTGTACTGAGATGACCTTCCCGCCGCTCTGGGGCACATGTACCCGGAACACCAGCCGCACACGTGTATTTTTGCGCCCGATGTCCGTCTCACCCTTCCGAAGCTCAATGTCTGAATTCCGAAGCTTCAGGATTCCCGCACAGTCAATGCTGAAGGCAAAGGATGGATGGCAAGCCCTCCTAGCTGAAGCCAGAATGGTGATACATCCCTAAAGAGGGAAGCTGCCCCCCTCCATCCAAAGCCCTGAATGACTTTCGATGTATGCCTAGGAGGCTATTTTCTAATCCAGAGATGGTCTTTCCAGGGTACCCCCCATCCCCAAAAGTCCTCTTCCAGATGGTGGGTAGGCCTGAAGCCGGCTCCTAGGAATGATGTCTAGCTCTTCTGGGAAAAGGAAGAAATGGGCTAGCATAGGCCCAATGGAGAGAGCTAGTCTAAAGCCTGCAGACTGAGGGGAAGTTGCCTGGGGACTTACTTGGCCGCCATGTTGTTCTCAGGCAGCAAAGTCATCTCCAGCACCTTGGTGCCACTGACTACGGCTTCATAGCTGGCTGTGGCCACCATCTTGCCTGTGATACGGTGCACCTGATAGAAGGCATGAGGCCTCAGGTTCCTTTCATCTGCAGTGCCGATGAACATCTGTAGAGTCAGTGGCTTCTCACTGTAGCCTAGGAGCTGGCAGAGGGAAAGAGGGGCCACCTCATTGAAATCCCCACCATCTCATCCTTTATTCATCCCTGGATTTTCAGTCCACCATGGGATAGGAATGGTGAAAGATAAAGGATATCCTGCAGGGGAATCCCTGGGGGAACTGGGCACCCGTTGTGGAGAAAACATGGCCTGGAGTTCACAGTGTTTTTCTTGGAAGAAAGCCCAAAGTGGGCTGGGTAAAGGCAGAAGAGCCTCCAAAGAGACTGGCCCAACTCAATATAGAGAAAACTTAACTCCCAGTGACTTTTGGCCTCAGCCTAAACCCTCCCCCATATGTGGCAGGCCACCATTTTCCAGAGTAGACATGAGGCTGGTGTCCCATGGGATGAGCTGAGTGGGGAAGGACAGAGGAGTAGAAAGCATATCCGGGTCCTTGCACCCCTCCTCCCCTAACTCCAGCCCCTCCCCCAGGCTGCCTGCGGGGTCAGAGCTGAGAGGGAGTGTGGGAAAGGGCAGTGCCATGGGTTTGCATAGCTGGAACCCATCTGGGAGAGGAGAAAGGATAGCAGGCCTGCCCTCTGTCCTCACCTTGACTACAGGGTGACCGCCAGGGGCAGCTTTGACAGCTCCACGGCTGCCTTCTGTCTCATAGTGGGCCCGGTGGTGGGCTCTAGGCTGCACCTCGATCCTCAGCTCCAGCTGCTCATATTGGCTGGGCAGAGGCCAGTCCAGAGGGGGTAGGGCAGAGGTCCTGGGAGAGAAAGAAGAGTATTGATCAGGTGCAGCCTCTGCCCCAGTCAGGACCGCACTGAATCTGGGAGGGAGAAGGGGATATGGGTCTGAGAGAAAGGAAAGCACAGAGGAAATAAAGAAGTACATCAACATGTGTGAAAATAAGGGAAAATTTTTTTTTAACTAACAAAAAGATAAAGAACTGAAGAAATCCAAAAGTCCAGAAGCAAAGGGGACAGAGCCCCTTGAGGTGTGGAAGATGACAACAGGCCCAAAACTCTCTTCTTCCCAGCTCTGAGCACAGGGGTTGGGGTGAGAAGGCTTCACGTGGATACAGAGGATTCTCAAGCCCTAATCCCTAGACCTGGATGGAAAGAATAAAGAAGTGCCACTTCAGACCACAAAAGACCTCAGAGATGAACTCTTTGTTTAACAAATAAAAAAATTGAGGCATAGTGGCTCACACCTGTAATCCCAGCACTTTGGGAGGCTAAGGCAGGTGTGGGGGGAGGTGTGAGGAACGCTTGAGCCCAGGAGTTTGAGACCAGCCTGGGCAACATGGTGAAACCACATCTCTACAAAAAATACAAAAATTAGCCGGGCGTGTTGATGCTCCTGTAGTTCCAGCTACTCAGGGGGCTGAGGCAGGAGGATAGCTTGAGCCCAGGAGCTTGAGGCTAAGTGAGATCACACCACTGCACTCCAGTCTGGGTGACAGCGCAAGATGCTGTCTCATAAACAAACAAACAAATAAACAAAGAAACTGAAGCCAGCAGCCACTGACAGACCTATGACTGAGCACATTCTGCTCCCAAGCCAGCTCCCTTTCCAGTAGCTGGGGCTTGATAGATGGAGTTCCAGGGAGCTAAGGGTTTCAGATGGGACAACTTATCCTGTAGTGTGCTCCCTGATACCCTAGGACAGTGGATCTCAGGATCTCAACTAGTAGTTGGCCCCCAGGTAATTGCCCAGATATTTGGCAATGTCTGGAGACATTTTTAGTTATTGCAACTAGGGGAGTGGGTACGACTAGCATCTAACAGGTAGAGGCCAGGGATGCTGCTAAACCATCCTGCAGTGCCCACTGCAGGCCCACACAACAAAGAATTATCCTGCTCAAAATATCAGTAGTGCTGAATTAGTAGTGCTGAGGTTGAGAAACTTTGCCCTGTGGGAAACCCAGGGGTACCAGTGTTAAAGGGTCTTTCCCCTAGAAACAGTTCTGGACCGAGCCAGCTCAGGCTAACATTTCAAGATTTAGGATTACTAAAATGGGCAGGATTCTCTGAGGATGGAAGGGATAGAAGAACTGCAAGTTTTAATATGAATTATTTGACTTGCAAAAATACACGATTTTATTCAAGTTAGCAACTATACTCTAAGCCACTAGGTCAGGCTCTAGAAATTAAGGATTGGAGAAGGGAAATTTCCTGCAACACAGTGGAAATCTGTTTAGGGCTGGCACCTATTGAAAGGACCAGAGTGGAAGGCTGAAATCCAGCCCAAGTTCCACATTCAGCCATATGCCACGCAGAGCCTGGGCTTGGGAGCACTCTATAGGCTACAGGAACTCCTTAATCTAGTTGATCCTCCAAAATATCTGGGGTTCAGTGGCTTTTTCTAATTTGCCCACAGGGAACTGTTGCCCTTTTGTAAATCATCCAAAGGGTGTGCTTTTTTCCTAATTCTCTTTAAAAGCAGGTAGTTGGCAGTTGCTGAGCTGGTGGCAGATTCTCTTTTGAAATTCAGAGGGCACGAAACTAGTATGTCTAAATCCATCCTTTGACCCTCCTGCTCCCCTAGTGGAATGCTGGAGAGAGGGGTGGTGCCAGGCGCAACCCTCACCTGAAGATAGGGCTGTGTCCCCCAATCCGGGCCTTGGACCACGCGAGTGGGGAGGGCACTGCCAGGTAGTCCATGCCAGCCACTTCCTTCCGGGGACCTCCTGGAAGAGCCACAGACTCCTCTGCTCCCAAGGGCAGCTTCCCATTGCATGGGGCAGGCTCCTCAGACCGAGGCAGAGCCACTGCCTGTTCGCTGGAAGTTCGCCGTGTCTTCTGAGGGATGCTCTCAGCTGGTGGGGCCCCCACATAGTCAAAGGGACCAGGGGAGCCAGGATCCCGGGCCAGAGGCAATGGGGGTGGTGGAGGTGGCTCAGATCCCTCTTCCCCCAGGCTGCCACGGCGGGATAGAGCTGGGGAGGCCGAAGATGGGGTTCCCGAGCTGGAATAGCGCCGCTTGCCACATGGAGAGGCAGGCCGGGGAGAGGCTGGGGTGGGCCCAGGAGCACTGAGGAGTAGCCAGCTATCCTCTGGCCCTCGGCCTCCGGGGCTTGGACCATACAGACTCCAGGGATCTTCAGGAGTCCATGGCCGAGGGGAGGCCCGGGGCGAGGGCAGCGGGGAGCCCAAGCCAAAGCGGGAGGCCGCCTCATTTAGCTCAGACTCCACTTCGTCACAGGCTGCGTACAGGGCTGCCTCATCAGAGGCATCGGAGAAGAAGCTCCACGAGGACAAGCTGCTGCTGCCAGGGCTCGGGCTGAAGAAGGCCCCCCCACCCTGGCCCCCTGCCTCTCGGTAGCCCCCAAAGCCTTCTGGTGGGGGGTAATCTCTAGGAGAGCCGTCCCCCCAGGCATCAGGGTTGTCCTCCAGCGCTGCCGGCGGCTCGGGCGTGGGAGAGATGGAGGTGATGCGGATGCTGGGACACTCGAGAACACGGCCACCCCCAGGACCCCCAGCACCCCCTCCTGGTCCTCCCAGCCTCACCGACCGGGCGGGCTGGCTCTCCCAGGTGCCAGGTGAGGGGGCTGGGCGCGGCGGTGGCGAATGCATGCCAGGCCGAGGGGGTGGAGGACGAGGAATACCGATAGGTGCAGCACCATAGGGAGGGGGCTCTCCCAAGGCCAGACGGCAGCATGGCGGGGCATCCTCCGAGTCCAGTTCTGTCAAAATGGGAAGGGGAGCAGAGGGAGAGGGGGAGAGAGAGAAACAGGTGAGATGGCTAGTCTCCTTGAGTGGCCAGGCTGCAAGTCCTGCTATGTCCCTGCCCCTCAGCAAGGAGACCTTCTGAGCCACAAAGGCAAAAGCAGAGTTGGACCTGGGAAGATGGAAGAGATTGAGACAGGCATGCCAGGCCTTTGCCCACTGGCCCTTGGATCCTGGGACAGAGGGTACCCGATCCAGCGGGTCTTAAGGTGAGGGAGGTGGGTCCAGAGGAGCTGGAGCTGAGCCTGGGCCTGGAGGCGTGTTTCTTGAGGCACTGTGCTGGACTGGGGGCGACTCACACATGAACCCAATTAGCAGCGGTTCCCAAACCCCCAAACGGCGCTGGCAGGAGCCCCAGTTGCCATCGCAACCGTGGCCAGAGGGGAGGGGGGCGTCAGGGCTGTGGTGACTAGGGGAAGCGGCTCCTCCCTCGTTACCCGCCATCTGGGGGCGGAGGTACAGCCGAGGGGGTGATGCGTGCCCGGCCCAGCCGAGGGAAGGGGGACGGCGGGCAGCGCGCGGATTCGTGCGAGCTGCAGCCGCCGCCCCCGACTCAGTCCCCGCCATCTGCCTCTCATTGCGGCCAGACGAGGGAGGGGGAGGGGCGCCCCGGCGAGGCCTGACAGCGCCCCCAGCCCCTGGTGTCCAGTTGGCCTCGCCAGTGCTTGGTCCGAGAGGAGCTAGCTCCAGCGCCGAACCTCCCCTTCCCCTGGCGGCGCCCTGTGCTCCTGGGGCCGCAGTTCCCGCTTGCCCCCCAGTTCAGTGACAAGCGGCCCAGCCGGGAGGCGGCGCACAGCCAAAGGCACCCCCACCCCCATCCCAGCCAAGACCTAAAAAGGAGAAAGTGGTGCCCCGGCCCCCAGCCTCACTTCCGCAGGCCAGCGAGCCCCTGCGACTCCTTTCGACCTCTGACTCCCTCACCCCCACCCTAGGCTCGCTGCCTTAAATTCCCCAGACCAGGATCCCCGGCCCTTCTCTCACTGACCCCAAGACCCCTTCCCAGCCCCGCACTAACCTTCCCCCAACCCCCCCGCGCCCAGCGGGGGGGCCTCCTTTTCCTCCCCGAACACCAGCTTAAACTCCAGCTCCTCATCCTCGCAGCTGGCCGCCCCCATGGATCCGGCAGGAGCCCCCAGGTCCCGGCCTGGGTGGGAGGGGGGAGCTCAGGAGGCTGCTGTATCTTCACCAGGGTGGCTCCCTCCCTCCCTTTCTGTGAGAAGCCCCCTCCTCCGTCGCTGCCGCCTCCCTCCAGACGCCCCCTCGTTATTATAGAAAGTTTTCCAAACTTTTTTCCCCCAAACTTCTTCAAAGCGGGGCCTCTAGCCTGTCCCTGATTGGCTGCCGGGGATGCTCCAGCCCCTCCTCCAGGGATGAGATGGGAAAACCACGCGCCCCTCGTCCTCCCCCCCCCCCCCCCCCCCCCTTCCCCCCTCCAGCCCCCCCCCCCCAAAAAAAAAAAAAAAAAAAAACTGAATTGGAAAACGGTCCTTCAAGAGTGATACTAATGTTGCCTATTGGTCCGCCTTTGTGACAATCATTTTCTGCAGGGAGCCCAGCCGCCACCTCCCTTAGTCTCAGTTCTCGGTTCTGGGTCCGAGAACCTTAAAGGGGCCACATTCTGGGCCCTCAGGGTATAAAGCCCACGGAATACACTTTTTTAAGTTCTGAAGACTGTGTAGACAGCACCCAGCAAGACGGAGCCACTTCTCCTCCCCTTTCCCTCCAAGCCTGAGGCCAGGACGGTCCTTGGGTGCAGAGTGGCACCGGGCTGCTCGTAAGAGGAAGAGGCTATTCTTCCAGGTCCCCCGCCTGGCACTGCTCTTCCTGGGCCTTCTGGAAGTGTTTGCCCTGCCGAATCAGCGCCTCCATCAGCCATTTCTCCCGGACCCGTAAAGTGAAGAACGCTTAGCCAGCCTGGATGCCCTCTGGGAGCAGTCCGAGCCAAAGAGGCTTTGAGAACTGTCCCTAGGCCCACAGCCCTTGATGGGCGTAGATCCAGGCCAGGCTTTGCCGCTGCCCTTGTCCCAGCCACCCAGAGGGGCCATTAATTAGCCTCCACGGGAAGCTGGCTCCCTCCTCCCTAGAACTGTAGTCTGGAAGGAATCTCTGACCCGTTAGCATCCCATTCCGGCTCTTCTAAAACTCCTGGCCAGGTTTATTAGGGGCCTGGAACCTCGAGACCCTGTGCCCCCCCCACTCCCCCCGCCTTTCCCCACCTCCCCCAGGCTGGACACCTGTCACCTGGGTTGGAGGAGGAAGAAAGACCCGGACGGGAGTTTTCGGGAAAGTCAGGCTTGGAGAGGCCTGGGTTGTGTGATACGGAATTAGAGGGGAGATTCGCGACTCGGTGGGAGATACTGGCAAGGCTGGAGGGTGGGAGGGATTGGGGGGTGGTTATCATTTCCTCCCACACAGCTTCAAAGCTCTCTAAGAGGCCGAAGCGTCTCCAATCTCTAAATCCCTCGGGTTCAGTGCTGCACCCCCAACGCCGCCCCATCCCAGCACCTGAAGGGTTAAGCGACGGCCCAGGGTCAGACGTTTACAAACACTCAGAAGCCGGGCGAGACCGCGCCCGTTACTCTAATGAGAAACAGGCTCCGCGGGACTGGGGAAAGAAGGGAGGGCTGGCCCGACGGGCCGGAGCTCCGCAGCAGCCCTCCCTTCGGTCCTCCCTCGGGCCCGCCCAGAGGACCCCCCCCAGCCTCGGGGGACCCCAGTGACGTGCGGAGCTGCCCCGGCTCCAAGCCCAGGGCCGCAACACAGGAGGGGCGGGGAGAAGAGGCCAGGCCGGCGGGGAGAGAAGAATGTTCCGAGGCCAAGCGGGGAGGCGGCCTAGTTTGATTTTTTCTTTCTTCTTTCCCTCCCCCACTTTGGTTGGTCTCCTCAGGTTACATTTCCCTTCCAGCTTCATCTCGGAAATAAAGGAAGGAGAAACACACGGGAAGAAAGGACGAGGAACATCTCAACCCATCAACCTGACTGCAAAGAACAGGGCAGGGGAGGTGGAAAGCAGAGGCGAGAAAGGCAAGGGTAGAGACCCCGAGGCCCAGACCCTGTTCCCCAGACTCTGCCCCTCCCCGGCCCCCCTCCCCGCCGGCACAGCACATGCAGACGCGCACATTCTTTTCAAATGTCATATTTCCTTTGATCCTGGGCAGCGTTTCTCCATGTGTCTGGCTCAGCTCCTGCCCAGCCAACCGCCTCCCTCCTCATCCCCCTTTGTTTTCCTGGAGAACCCTCCTTCTCCTAGCATCTGGAAGGCCCTGAGGGCTGGCGTCGGCCCTCATTCCCCTGATGACTCTGGCCTCTCCTCCCAGTGACTCAATTTCCCCTCCATGGGCGTTGGGGGTAGGGAAGAGAAGAGCAGAGGGGAGAGTAGTTGAGACTGCTCGGAGTGCCAAGCTTCTCTCGGGCGGGGGTCGGGGGGGCATCCTCTTGACTCTGAAAATCCTCCAATCTGTCTCGCCTGCGGCAGAGGGATGGAACTTATGACTTTTGAAATGTTCGGCCTGGCGTTGGAGCCTGGGCAACCGCGGGTTAGTTTTAGATTTAGATTGCCCTATACTTCTGCCCCCTGGCGACCAAAAAGACCCAGCCGCCCTTCCTCGGTTCGCGGTTTCTTGCGCCGCCTGGCCTCGGTCTCAGCTCCGCTGCCTCCTAGCGCGCTAAGGAGAGCACAGCTCGGCTTTCATACCTTGATTGGGTGGCCCGCTATGCCTTCTGCTCTGTACTTTAACAAGCATCGTTCCACTTCCTTGGAGGTGGACGTTCTTTCTTTTTTTAATTACACAAGATGCCGTCTTCTTTTTTTCCCAGAGGCCTAAACAAAGCTAATTAATATACATTCTTATTGTAAACAATTCAAGCTATACAAAAATATGTAGTAAACCGTGATTGTCCACCATTTTGTAGGTATTTATTAACATGTGTGCACACACATGCTCTTTTTATGCGTATGACAAGCATTTTCTTGCTTTTTTTTCCCTCAGTTAGCAAATGATTGAAGATCTTTTCCAGTAGTGCCATCTGAAAATGATAATGAAAATGCCCACCTTTTCAGTAGATAAAGTGACTTTTACAAATCAGGTTAGTAACAGAGTTGATCTGGAACCCAGGCCTCCTGGGTCCTTGTCAAGTGCTAATTCATTACATCACACTTTACACAGGAATCTGTCTTAGGCTTGGTTCCTCCAATAAGTAGAGCCAGAGACAAGAACAGGATGCAGGTAGTTTATAGTGGAAAGCAATCACAAGGAACAGAAGGGGAACAATGGAAAAAGTGAAATTGGGAAGCAGAAAAGCCAATCCGAGGGTGTGATCCAGAACAGGTCACTACTCTGAGCATCTGGAATATTGTCCTACTGAGACTGTCTATGGCACCATAGAGAATGTGATTGAAGAGAAGAGGCCAGCCTGGGCAACACAGAGACACAGCCTTGTCTCTACTGAAAATAATTTTTTAAAAAGGCAGGCACAGTGGCTCACCCCTTTAATCCCAGCACTTTGGGAAGCCAAGGCAGGTGGATCTTTTGAGGTCATATACAGATATACCATATACTATACTATATAGTATATACACAGATATACCATATATACTATATATACAGATATACCATATATACTATATATGGTATATATGTATATACATATATGTATATATGTATACATATATGTATATCTATATATGTATACATATGTGTATATACATATATGTATATATCTGTACATCTGTATATGTATACACAGATATACATGTATATAAAGTATACATACAGTGTGTATATATACAGTCATACAGTATATGTATACATAGTATATACACAGTTTGTATATATGTACACACAGTATATGTATACACACAAAGTTTCTTTACTCTGTGTGTGTGTATATGTGTACATATACACACACACAGTAAAGAAAGGGAAAAGTAGGAGAGAGATCGAAGATGGCTAAATAGGAACAGCTCTGGAGTGCAGTTCCCAGCGAGAACAACACAGAGGGTGAGTGATCCTGTATTTCCAAATGAGTTTTCCTGCCCACAGACCAGGATATTCCGGGGCCAAAAAGCGCCACAAGTTTCCAACATAGCTGTTTCAGCTGGCCTCACAGGTTACCACACAAAAACTCACACAAATCTGGGTGGCCATTTCAAGTGGCACCTGGAATGCCTGGGACGCAGAGCCACTCATTCAACTAAAAGAGAGGGGGCTGAAACAGGGAGCCAGGTGATCTGGCGTGGCGGGTCCCACCTCCACAAAGACCAGCAATCTGAAACATTCTGGATTGAGAGTTTCGTAGCAAGCTCAGCTGAACCTGGATGGTCCAGCTTGGTGGGGGGAAGGGCGCCCACCATTACCAAGGCAGTCGACCACTGCTGAGGCAGTCCGCCACTACCAAGGCAGTCCACCATTACCAAGGCAGTCCGCCATTACCGAGGCAGTCCACCATTACTGAGGCAGTTCTAACTACATCTCTGTAAACAAAACCACAAGGAAGTTCACACAGCAGCTGGGCAGAGCCCACGGCAGCTCAGCAACCCCTCTGCTGGCAGACTGTGACTAGACTACCTCCTTCCTGGGCAGAATATCTCTGAAAAAAGGCAGCAGCAAGTCAGGAACTTATAAATAAAGCCCCACTTTTCCAGGACAGAGCACTTGGGAAAAGAGGTGGTTATGAGTTCTGCTGCAACAGACTTAAACATACCTGCCCCAGCAGCTCTGAATGGAACAACGGACCTCCTAGCACAGCACTTGAGCTCCTATAAGAGACAGGCTGTCTCCTCAAGCAGCTCCCCGACCCCTGTATATCCAAAGAGACACCTCATAAAGGAGAGCTCAGGCTGATATCTGGCAGGTACCCTTCTGGGACAAAGATAACAGAAGAAACCGGGAGCAACTCTTACTGTTCTGCAGCCCCCTTGGGTGATCCCTGGGCAAGCAGGGTCTGGAGTGGACCTCCAGCAGTCCTGCAGCAGAGGGGCCTGACTGTTAGAAGGAAAATTAAAAAACAGAAAGAAATAGCTTCAACATCAACAAAAAGGATGCCCACTCAGAGACCCCAGCTGAAAGTCACCAAGTACAAAGACCACAGGTAGATAAATCCACAAAGATGGGAAGAAACCAGCACAAAAAGAATGAAAATACCAAAAACCAATTCTCCTCCAAGGGATCACAACTCCTCACCAGCAAGGGAACAAAGTTGGATGGAGAATGAGTCTGATGAATTGACAGAAACAGGCTTCAGAAGGTGGGTAATAACAAACTTCTCTGAGCTAAAAGAACATGTGCTAACCCAATGTAAAGAAACTAAAAACCTTGAAAGAAGGTTAGACAAAATGCTAACTAGAATAAACAGCTTAGAGAAGAATATAAATGACTTGATGAAGCTGAAAAACACAGCATGAGAACTTTGCGAAGCATACACAAATTTCAATAACCAAATCTACCAAGCAGAAGAAAGAATATTGGAGATTGAAGATCAACTCAATAAAATAAAACAAGAAGGCAAGATTAGAGAAAAAAAAAGTGAAAAGAAATGAACAAAGCCTCCAAGAAATATGGGATTATATGAAAAGACCTAATCTACGTTTGATAGGTGTGCCTGAATGTGACAGAGGGAATGAATCCAAGCTGTAAAACACTCTTCAGGATATTATCCAGGAGAACTTCCCCTACCTAGCAAGGCAGGCCACCATTCAAGTCCAGGAAATACAGAGAACACCACAAAGACATTCCTCAAGAAGGGCAACCCCAAGGCACATAATCGTCAGATTCACCAGGGTTGAAATGAAGGAAAAATTGCTAAGGGCAGCCAGAGAGAAAGGTTGGGTTACTCACAAAGGGAAGCCCATCAGACTCACAGCAGATCTCTCAGCAGAAACCCTACAAGCCAGAAGAGAGTGGGGGCCAATATTCAACATCCTTAAACAAAATAGCTTTCAACCTAGAATTTCATATCCAGACAAACTAAGCTTCATAAGCGAAGAAGAAATAAAATCCTTTACAGACAGGCAATTGCTCAGAGATTTCATCACCACCAGGTCTGCCTTACAAGAGCTCCTGAAAGAAGCACTAAACATGGAAAGTAACAACCAGTACCAGCCATTCCAAAAACGTACAAAATGGTAAAGATCATGGAAACAATGAAGAAACTGTGTCAACTAATGGGCAAAACAACCAGCTAGCATCAAAATGGCAGGATCAAATTCACACATAACGATATTAACCTTAAATGTAAATGGGCTAAATGCCGCAATCAAAAGACACAGACTGGCGAATTGGGTAAAAAGTCAAGACCCATTGGAGGACACACATAGGCTCAAAATAAAGATTTACCAAGCAAATGGAGACCAAAATAAAGCAGGAGCTGCAATCCTAGTCTCTGATAAAATGGGCTTTAAACCAACAAAGATCAAAAGAGATAAAGAAGGGCATTACATAAAGGTAAAAGGATCAATGCAAGAAGAAGAGCTAATGATCCTAAATATATATGCACCCAATACAGGAGCATCCGGATACATAAAGTGAGTTCTTAATGACCTACAAAGA